CATTTTATACACAGATAAGAGAACTAATATTTGTTGATCACCTACTAATATGCCAGACACTGTGTCCTTGTTTCATCCCCATAACAACCCTACAATGTGGGCATTTTCATCTATATATTACAAATATCAAAATTGATGCTTAGAGTGTTTGAACAACTGATGAATAACAGTGCCAGAATGTATATTCAGGCCTGCCTGATTCTAAAGCCTTCTGTGAGAAGGGGGAAATAGGAGGTGGAGTAGGTGTTGGAGGAGACCGCTGGTTAATAAAGTTTTGAGAATGGCCAAATTAAAAATATTAGGGAGACCAAATAGGAGCATCAAGAACAAAATGGTCAGAAGTGGAATCAAATCAGATTACAAAGTAAAAAGCTGGAATTGGATGGTGCAAGAATGGACTGAGAACCAATGAAGGTGAAGCTTGGAATGACTATTGCAAGCAGTTTTGGGCTCACTGGGTACAGGCTGTTTGGGTGAGTTGGGTGGCTTTAATTGAGAGGGGGAATGGAACCAAAATAACAATACATCTCCTATTATACAAAAGTCATAATTTCATTCATTAAACATATCTACTATCCAAAAGACTCAAGCCTTAAATCAACATAAAATATATATTTTGATTGCTCTTCCCACTTTACAAGGTGTCCCATTGCTATACATTATTCAGAGACTCCTACAAATATATTATCTACTCTGTCCTTCTGACAATGTTAGACAGAATGTGCTTGTCTCTTATCTGTGCATACACAGATTTTTTTATATGCCAATTTTTGTGATTTGCTTATGTCCCTGTTCACCCAGCTAGAAGAGGAACTCACCAGGGCAAAGACCATGTCTTATTCACCTCTGTCTCCATCCCTCAAATAATGTCCACTTAATGATTATTACCACATTGTTACACAGAGGTAGAAAATGGTCTATGCAATAAGGAACACAGAGATGTGTGAGTTCCAAAGGAAAGGAAATTAGCACTCATTTCAGTGCTTTTCAGATGTGATGGTACAAAGTACTACCTCAAACCATCTACAGATGCTCAAACCATCTATGTCAGTGGATATTAATATTCCCAAACATTAGATTAAGGGAAATTCAAACTCAACATACTCAAAACTAAATTAATAAATTAAAACATACTCAAAACTAAATTCATAATATCCCCCCATGTTTTACTGATAAAAATTTACTGATAAAAAAAATCCCATTGTTTTCTTTATCAGTAAATTAGACCATTAATCCATTTCCAAACACAGAAAACTAGGAATCATTTCAGTCACACCATTTTCTCTTGTTCTTCGTGTCTAACTGGTTCCTCACACTGTAGCCAAAGTGATCTTTTTTAAAATGGAAATCTAAGCTCCTTCCTCCTTTAAAATTTTTCAGTGACTTTTTCTTTGCTCTTAGGACAAAGAACAAAGTCTGACCTTTGCCTTTTTCTCTGAACCATTCTTATATTAGACCTCTCTTGCCTTTGCTTTCTTCCACCAGCCACACTGGTCTTTCTCAGTTTCTTCTTTCCATCACAGAGACTTTCAGCCACTAATAACAATAACCACCTACTTCTAGACTTCCTGCTATGTGAGAAAAATAAGTTCTCTATTTTTTAATTGACAGATGAAATTGCATGTATTTATCATGCACAACATGTTTTGAAGTATACACACATGGTAAAATTATTAAATCTAGCTAATTAGCAAATGTAATATCTCACATAGTTATCATTTTTATGGTGGGAACACTTAAAATCCACTCTTTGCATTTTTCAAGAATATGTCTTTATTAACTATAGTCACCATGTTGTACAATAGAGATCTAGAACTTATTTCCTCTATCTAACCGTAATTACATATTCTCTGACCAACATCTCCCCATTGCTTCCTCTCCCCTAACCACTCCAGCCTGTGGTAACCACCAATCTGTTCTCTACTACAAAATTATTTTTTTAGATTCTACATATGAGTGAGATGCAGTATTTGTCTTTCTGTGCCTAGCTTATTTCATTTAATATAATGTCCTACAGAGTCATCCATGTTGTCATAAATGACAAGATTTTGTTCTTTTTTATGACTGAATAGTATTTATTGTGTATATATACCATATTTCCTTCATCCATCCATCCATTGATGGATACTTGGGCTGATTATATATCTTGGCTATTGTGAACAGCACTGTGACAAACATATGAGTGCAGATATTACAACTCTGAAACTACTAGAAGAAAGCACAGTGGGGAAACTCCATGCCATTGGTCTTGGCAATGATATTTTGGGATATGACCTTAAAAATTATAGGCAATAAAAGCAAAAATAGACAAATGGGATTAAATCAAACTAAAAAGCTTCTGCACAGCAAAGGAAATTATCAATACAGTGAAGAAACAACATACAGGATGGGAGAAAATATTTGCAAGCTATGCATCTGACAAGGGATTAATATCCAAAATATGTAACGACCTCAAACAACAAGAAGAAAACAAATAACCTGATTTTTTTTAATTGGCAAAAGACCTAAGTAGACATTCCTCAAAAGAAGGCATGCAAATGGACATGTATATGAAAAAATGCTCAATATCACTAATCATTGGGAAAATGCAAACGAAAACCACAGTGAGATATCACCTCACTCCTGTTACAATGGCTACTAACAAAAAACAAAAGATAAGTGTTGGTGAAAATGTGGAGAAAAAGGAATCTGTGCACATGCTGGTTGTGGAAATGTAAATTAGTACAGTCATGGAAAACAGCATGAGCGTTCCTCAAAAAAAACTAGAACTATCACGTGATCCAGCAATCCCACAACTGGGTATATATCCAAAGAAAATGAAATTAATAGGTCAAAGAGATATCTGCATTCCTCTATTTTTTTAAGTTATGCCTGTCAGATTTTCTATTATTTACACTTGAGGGTATTCCTAATGGATATAACTCCAGAGCCCATGCTTTTATCCACGAAACAATATTATCTCTCATCTATGAAATACAAAGACAAAAGTTTGTTTTTCTACTTCCTTTAGGGAGTTCTTAAAAAGTTTAAGTTAGTAAATGCATATACTCTACAAATATCTATAAAAAATAAAAATCATTATACAAGTTTATTATTTTTAAAGCAATGATTCTCAACTAAGGGAAAAGATAGGAGAGAACACATCCTGTCAAGACATAGAATTGGGCTACATTCTCCTAAAAGGATACATCAGAATCACCTGGGGGAATTTTTCACATCTATAGATGAAAAATCAATATCAGGTGAACCACCTCTTCTAAATGAAATGATGAGTATACCCTGCAGATACGTTCAAAGGAGAAAAAACTTTGAGAAGTAGAGTTTTGTTATGATTGTGAGGTATATTAAGCACACTTTCATTAAGATACCAGTAGCATAACAATTGGCAAAAAAATTTTTAACCCACGGAAAAACAATCTCACCTTACAAGTTTGGTCTTCTTAAAATACAAGTAATTGTTTTTATATTAAATAATAGTAAAAAGTAATAAACAATAGTACAACCCAACAAAGCTGATACAACTTAAACAGTATAATATAATATTAAGCAATCAAATCAGAGTTAACAGGAAGAAATGTGAGTATGTTTCAGAGAAAGGCTAGAATAAATTCCAAATACTCCAAAATTTTAAAAAGTTTCCTCTTCATTTTAATTTCTCTTGGCGGAGGTCAAATTTACCAATCTCTCATTAAGAAATTAACCAAGTCATTTTAAAAATTGAACTCACAACTTAGGTCCCAAATAACTGCCTTTTTACATTTATTGGATAAATTACTAGTATTTTTCACTGAAGAAATATTCATTGAACACTTACTATAAGCCAGACTACTCTTGAAACTGAATGTCTTCACAGCAATGAAGCAAACACCGAAAACTGCTTTTCTTTATAGAACTTATATTCTACTGAGGGTAAGGAGCAAACACACAATAAGCAAATAAATAAAATGCACCATATGTCAGTTTTGATGATGACTGCTAGAGGGAAAAAATAAAATAAGAAAGATAGAAGGGAGACAGAAAATAGGGAGCAAAAGAGAAATAGAGAGATAGAGAGTTTTTTCAGGGGGCAAGGAGGGTTGATGGTTGTGATTTTGAATACCATGGTTACAAAGGCTTTATTTGGATGCTGACAGTTGAGCTAAGATCAGAAGAAGGTGAGAAATCAGGCCAGAGCCATACGTCTATTTGTTAATGCTAACTCTTTCTTCTGCTGAATGTAGCATATGAAATGGGTCAACAGCTGAATAGCAAAATGATACTGGTTTTCTTTATAAGTCACCCTAATCTGCTGTAATCAAACCAAAGAAAAAATTAAAAAGACATTCCAATTATTGGTAACCTTCTGAATCTCACTGTTTGAGGAAAAGTTTAAATGTTTACTTATTCCTTTATGTCACTATACATTCATTTTTTAAAACTCCCCAAACACTATATTTCAAGTGTAGAAATTTTTTTTTAGTCTTAAGTGAGCCCAAATTTCATCATGGGCTAAAATTTTAAGACATAAAAATAACTGCTGAAACTGAATTTTAATCGTATAGATGAATCACAACATGCATCTTTAGCTAGGCATGTATTATGGATAAGTCAAGTTTTCTACAGAGAATAATCACATGTTCTAATTACCATTTTGGTTATACGCATAATTAATAATATTCTGTCTTAATGGGACCCACAGAATCTTCAGACAGTTGCAAGCCTTAACTATGCAGACTGCCAAATCCAACTGTCAGCTGCACTGCCAAACACAAAGGAATCTTGATGTAGTGTTTTAGCATTGATAACATTATGCATATCTTTATACATAATACAATGAAAAAATTAATTGCTTTTCTTCCTTCAAATTTTTCTCCACACAAATAATTTTATGTCACTTGATGATCTGATCATTTACCCTAAATCACATATATTGGCAAGTGATCTTATGAAAATTAAAAACAAAATTTAAATGTAATCCAAGATTCAAGGAGTTATAAAAATATTGTTAGACAAGGACTTACTGATTGTAAGCTTGCATTTTCACGCAAACAAGCTGTGTGAAGTTCTGATTTCAAGGCCGCAATGTGACTTCGATGAGATGTCATTTCCTTCTCTAATGTTGTGATTCTAGTGCTTGCAAGCTGGTAGACATCCATGAAACTTTTAATCATACCCTTAAGAAATAAAAATTATGTCACATACAATTCAAATAAATATGTCCCCAAAGGAAAATTACCATAATTTGAAAGCAAAACCATTAAAATTTTAAAATAAATAACTTTTCATCTTTCTTTAAAATATAGCTAAATCTCATATTTTATATTGAGAACAGTGACTATTTTAAGAAAGTTTGTGAGAAAATAATTGAGACTTCATTCCAGAGTATTTATTTAAATAAGGTGTACTTTGATCTATTGTGCTTAAAATTTAGAATGCAGTTTTAAAAGATGGCACAGTTATTTTCTATAGTAAAGTTAAATTCAAGTTGTAATTTGACCTAAATTTCAATCTTAAGAGAGGTGCAATCTTAATGGATATACAAACAAGATATTTCAAAATAAGCTGAGTTAGTAAAATTTTTAATCCATCTAAAAAACAAATGTTTTGAAACAAAATGAGCTAAAATAATTTTGGGATTTTTAAGAGTAAATAATGATTCCTATTTTGTAAGAAAAGTATAATTATATTCATTCGTGTAACACAAAATGCCCTCACATTGGACTGCATATAATAAAATAATTAACACAAGCTAGTCCTGGTAACTTATTATCTCCCCTAAACAGCACAGTATTTAGGGAATTGTTACATCACAGTTTAATCATATCTTATAGATTTCTTCTAAAATAATTTGTAATGATTTTTAAGTCCAGGACATTATTAAGCCTTTTTTAAAAAGGCTTTCAAAATAACTCAAATATAGCAAAATAAAATCCCACATTTCAAAGACATTTTCAAAAATAATATTATATTACTTACAAGAAAAATGTTCCTGCAACAGCCACAACTTAGTGTAATGATAGTCTGAGAATTTGCAAATTACATTCTATTTTAAGGGTCTGAATTAGGAAAGCTTTGAGAAATTATATATTTGAGCATTGGGAATGCATGTAAAAAATAATTTAGTAAACAAAGAAAGAGTAAGAAACAATTTACAGAATGTTTGCAAAACAGAGATAAGTTAGCTACTTGCAGGTATGAGTAAGAAAATTCAGACCTTTTTGCCTAATAAATTCTTATTTGCCCTTAAAAATCCAGCTCAGATCTCTTTCAAGAACCGTCTTGTGAGCCTAAAAAAGGCAGTGTTAACTTCTACCCTGGTTTTCTGTGAGCCCTTCATGCCTGCGTCTACTGTTGCATTTATTGCTTTAGCAGAATTTTATTAGTTTACATGTTTATCTTCTTTATTGGCTGTTGAGCTACTTAAGGCCAGATACTATGCCTATACATATCTGCAGCTTCAGGATGATAGTGGCTCATAGTGAGTACTTGTTTGAATGACTGCCTGAATTAATGACTAGAAGAATGAATGAATGAATGAATGAACGAATGAATGAATGAAAGAAAATTAGAAAAGATAAAAACTTTAAGTTGAAACCATATATGAATATAAAATACCTTCTAGGAAAGGGTGATGATGTTTGGGAAAGTAAAATCTTAACACCTAATCTAATTAATAAATTATTGGTGAAACTCTGTACAAGTTGAAAAAAGCAGAATTATAATTACAGACTAGGCATAAAAGGATGAAGTACATAAACTTGAATCTATTAACCAACACTACATAAGCATTATATGACTTCTTACCTGGGAATATCTGACATATCCTAACCTATCTCCCTTCAAATCATTTCAAGGTAAGTTTATAGTTAATATTAATACAAAATATATCCCTGTGTCTCAAAAGTATGTAAAAATCAGAAACTCTTAGATAACATGTTTTTTCCCCATGTCAAGTCTCTCTCAATTCTTATAAATTCATGTATCTTATCTATTGAGATAGTGGACCAGAAATGACGAGTCCTGGGTTTTTCTTTTCTTTCTGATTCTTACTTTGATTCAAGTCTATGTTGTTGGAAAATGTCACATAATCTCTCTGAGCCTCCATCTCCTACCTCTATAAAATGGGAAGAAGAGTCGTTTTCTTGTCTACTTTCTTTTTTTTTTTTTTTGAGACAAAGTCTCACTCTGCCACCAGGTGCCAGGCTGGAGTGCAGTGGCACAATCTCGGCTCACTACAACCTCCGCCTCCCAGGTTCAAGTAATTCTCCTGCCTCAACCTCCTGAGTAGCTGTGACTACAGGCGCACACCACCACGCCCAGCTAATTTTTTTGTAATTTTAGTAGAGATGGGATTTCACCATGTTGGCCAGGATGGTCTCAATCTCTTGACCTGGTGATCCGGCCACCTCAGCCTCCCAAGGTGCTGGGATTACAGACTTGAGCCACCACGCCTGGCCTTCTTGTCTACTTTTAAAACTGTTGTAAGGTTCAGAAAAACAAAATAGCTAATATTCATTAGGCTCAGAAAATTAAAATAGCTAATGCTTATTATTACTGAAGTGAAGGGACCATGTAAGCATATTACATGCTTAATTACATTTACATTTACAGTAACCATATGGAGTACTTTTTAAACTTAGTTTTTTAGAGCAAAACACAGGAGTTTGGAGGGATTAAATAACTAGTTCAAGTTTACAACTAGTTGTACAGTAGTCAGGATTTAAATCCGAGTATTTCTCATGCAAATCCATTCTCTTAACCCTTCAACTATATCACATTTAATATAAGAAAGAACTCTAAAAATGGTAAACGATTGAATTTTGTTGTAGTATTATTACTATTGTTCTATTTTTAAATTCTCCACTAAAATCTAAATGAGACAAGCTGAAATATGTGGGGTGTGTGTGTGTGTGTGTGTGTGTGTGT